AACCCACACCTGTGGTTTCCAGCCAAACAAAGTACAGGCATGTGAGTTAAACATTTACCTCAAGTAGACACACACCCTGGAGAGAATAATCATGGGTGAAGGAAGGGCTGCTTATGCATAGGGAGACAGCTCAGGGCGCAGGAGAATATGGAGGGATGGTCACTGGGAAGAGGTAACTATGGGGAGGAAGTGGGAGGGAAGCTGTTGCATTGTGGTAAACTGGTCAATGGCATGAGACAAAGTATATGTGAACTGCTGTATGGAAGGTGAATTTGCTCTGTAAATCTTACCCAAATCACAATTTAAAAAAAAAAAGAAAAAGATGTCACTTTGAAGACTAAGGTGCGCATGACCCAAGCCATGGTATTTTCAATAGCCCCACATGCATGTGAAAGCTTGGCAATGAAATAAAGATCACAGAAAAATTGATGCATTCGAATTATGGTGTTGGCAAAGAATACTGAATATACCAGGGACTGCCAGAAGAACAATCTCTGTTGGAAGAAGCACCGCCAAAATGCTCCTTAGACGCGAGAATGACCAGACTTCACCTCTTATACTTTGGTCATGGTGTCAGGAGGGACCAGTCCCTGGAGAAAGGTATCATGCTTGGCAGAGGGTCAACAAAAAATAGGAAGACCCTCAGCTACGTGGACCGATACAGTGGCTGTAGCAATGGGCAAGGCATAGCAATGACTGTTAGGATAGCAAATGATCAGACAGTGTTTCACTGTTACACATAGGATTGCTTTGACTCGAAGGCCCTTGGACAGCACCAACAATCTGAAAACTGAATTAAAGAACAGAAAATGAAGGATCAAGACCAGTGCACCAACCAGTAGACAAAAAGAGGACAAGAGAACAGGAAAATGAGCAGGGTATCTTGACTAAAAATAAGCAGAGTTAACAATTATTTGAAGGGCAAAACCTAAAGTAGAAGCCTTTAGCTATTGTGATGGATGGAGTAGGTGAGAATAAGGAAAAAAGCAAACAGAATTTAAAAAAAAAAAAAAAACATACAACTACAAAAGGTTTGACAGTAATTCTTAAATACTGTTTCTACAGAGGAGCCTACTGAAAATAATAGACCTAACACCTCAGAAAAATACATATAAATGCCATAAAGTTATCAATTTCAAATTCACAGAAACTACTGTTACTTACACTCATCCATACAGCCAAAAAGAACTGTCATATAAAACTTTTAAAAGGAGAGGAGGGAAAATGTCTCCCAACCTGTTTCCCCAACAAATACACTAAACACACTACCCTAAGGGCTGCTAAAGTAACAATTAAGGGCTATATTTCTGGTTACAGGACTATGTGGAGGGTAGTAAGGGACTATAAGCAAGGAGATGAGTTAATAGCTTATTGCTGTAGTCAAAGACCAAGCTACAATAGTAAATGAATTTGGAAATGGGGAGGTAGAACTGTGTCATCAAAATGTCAGAGACAAGCCAAAGACACATCAGGTTAACATGAATAGAATACAGGCAATGCCATTAACAGAAGAAAGAGATGGAAGAAATAGTTTGCAAGAATATGATAAAATGCCTGGCATATAAAATGCATTAAGCAGAATCTTAAAATATTAAACAAACAAAACAAACCTCACTGCCGTTGAGTCATATCCAATTCATAGCAACCCCTCCTTGTGTTTCCGAGGTGGTATCACCATTGAAGTAGGTTGCCCAACCTTCCTTCCATCTATATCACACTTCAGAATTGACAAAAAGCATTCACATGCAGAATTTCAATCAGTTAATGAAGAAACTAATACCAGAAGAGGTTAGAGAAATAAACACAGCTTAACAAGCCCTTTTCCATTTATTCCATATCGTAAACCAGAAGTCTCCTTTCTAACTTCCAGCCATTTCCCTTTTTCTGCATCACTACCTACCTGGATCTAAAACAGCTAAACAATCTTATCAAAAGTGAAACAAAAGATGGTTGGCTCAAAGACAATTAGATAATCTGGTCTGGGTTTAGGATGTATCTTCGCTTGCTTATTTTACTTTTCAGATTACAGATTCCTATTCTTACTCTCGTCCTATAGTCCTCCCATTTTTTCTTCTTCGTTCTGCTCACTCTCCTTATTGTTCCTCCCATTCTCAATTAAAAAAGTGTCAGCAGCTTTAAGCATAAAACTCCAAGTAGCATTCTCATTTAAAAAAACAGGAAAAGTAAAACAAAATATGCACTTAGCACCATACCGGTGCAAAGCAACTATGGGTGAATAAGATCTAAACACAATCTGAAGCCATATTTTAATTTATAGCGAACCAAAGTTAATAACAAAATAGCTACTAACAAATAGCAAAACTAAAAGTAATTTCTATATTTTATCTCAAGTTCCCTTAATAGTTAGTAGAAAAACAGTATCTAGAAAGAAAAACAAAAATACCAGGGATAATACTCAAACATAATGAGTTTAGTAAGGTCAAGTCCACAAGAAGACAATGTAAGTATGTCATAGTGGTTATACAATTATGTGTTCTGATGGCCCCAGCTGCCCTTCAGGTCTGGAATTGAACCCACTCCTGTGGCTTCCAGCCAAATGAAAGATAAGCATATGAGCTGAACATTTACATTAGGTAGATACACTCCCTGAAGAAATCAATTATGGGAGAACAGAAGGGCTCTGTATGCACAGGGAGACAGCTGGGGGGCAAGAATGCATGGAAGGAAAAGACACAGGGAAGAGGTGGCTATGGGAAGGAAGTAAGAGAGCTGTTGCATTGTGGGAGATTACAGTCAATGTCATGAGACAGTGTATGTGAACTGCTGCATGGGAATTTGCTCAGTAAACTTTCATCCAAATCACAACAATATTTAAAAAAAAAAAAGAGTACATGCTCTGGAGTCAAAATGACTGAAGATTCAGTGAAGATTCCAATTGCATCCTAACCAAGTATCTCCAGGCTCAACCTCCCTAAATCTTAATCTACTCACCTATACCACTGTTAACTGTAGCAGTACTTTCCTTAGAAAACTATTTAAGAATTAAAAAAGATATAGTGAATTTGCTCTCTAAACTTTCACCCAATCACAATAAAAAAATGAAATTTAAAAAAATAAAAAGAATTAAAGATATACCATGTAAATATAGCAAAACACATAATACAATCATCATCTACAAACTTTAGCCATTATGAGTATTATTTTTAGACCTACAATTTAGGCAAAGGAGAAAAAAAGCAGAAGAAAAAAATAGGAAGAAAAAGACTTATGTCAGGAAAATAAGTAGGACAGCCAATTGCTCAAATTCTGAACTAGTGGTACTATATATTTATTTCAATCCCCAGAAAATCAAGTATTTATCAAAACATTCAGTTAAGAGAATCTGTCCGTAAACAACAGCTGTAAACAAAAATCACGAATGTTGGACTATTCAAGTATTAAAGTTAATTGTTAAAATTCCTGGTCTCTGTTGTTGTTGTTATGTGCTGTCTGAGGTCCAGTTGGAGCATCTTTATCCTGATACTCCAGCATGGGATATTGGAATATCAATAAGAGCAATCTAAAGAAAATCAGTAATAAAGGTAACGTGGTCCTTCTCTAAGAATAAAGGTCATTCCTTTTCAGTTCAACTTCTCAGAAACACTTTAAGATGCATATCCGTAGATAGGGAATTTGAGAAGCCATTAAATTGAGGAATGCATAAAATAGGCTCTTCCAAGTGAAGGGGGAACAGGGTGCTCTCATCACATTTTCACACAAATCAAGGCGGAAACTCCACTGTAAGTACAACACACAACTTACGAAGAAAACACAGGCAACCTAGTTAATACTGCAGAACCACTGAACTCTCTGATCCAAGTTTTAGTTCAGGAAAATTCTATACATGAATAAATGGACACCTACATTCTTTTGGACTCTACTACCTCTTTTGCTGTAAGTCAGCTAACAGGATTCAACAGTTTAGCAAAACAAGTTCTGTTTCGAAATGAGAGCAACTGACAAATTATTGGACAATCTTGGTAATGCATTAAAAAATTACCACCTTTTATCTCAGAAATGTAAATAAAATAAACCCAAATTATTTTTAGTTACATTAATCTCTTTAATATTATTATTTAAAAGATAAATTTTATTTTTTTTAATGTGCCAAAAGATAATTTCTAGAGATTTAAAAAACAAAACAATGACTGAATGCCTGGGTCACTGAAAATCTGACTATAACAATTAACTAAAAACAATTATGAAAAACAAGTATCATTAGACGATAATGTTTCCATTTGTCAAAAGAATTTCTATTATAGCAATTAACATTCACAACTTTTTTAAAACCTTTGTTTATAAACTTAAGCCAGCATAACTTTCCTAGCACTTATTTTAAAAGTTCTTAATGCTGCTTGCTCAGTTCCTTTTGATTTCTGTTACTGGTAACGTTTTTCACTCTTTTTGTTATTTCATTTTGGAACTAAAATCTTAACGTATAATCTGAAATACAAAACACTTCAACAGATTGATTCAAAGCTTAATTTCTGTAATAGATTACAATGTTAGGAAAGGTTATGACTTAAAACAAACTACTTTATGAAATACCAGATTAAAAACTAAGACCTATATTAACAGCTTGTTTGAAACGATGACATAACTCAAAACTGGAACACTAAACTATAATGATCCTCTCTTTCAGAATGTTTTTTCTCTATCAATCCAGAAAGCATAAGGTACATACTGATCACATAAATTAAGTCAGTTTGCCTTTAAGGCCGTGCACACGCGCGCGCGCGCGCACACACACACACAAACACACACACACCACCCCCCAAAAAATTTAGGACTGTTTGAACACGAAATATTTCTAAATCTTTTTTATCTGCATTTTAATGTACTCAGATAATGTTTAATAATCGTTGTTTTAGACTGTCCACAAAACTGAAGCCAAGCAACATTATTGTAAGAAACTAAAAGGCTTCCAAGAATAACAGGATAAACTTCACTCATTACAGTTTACAAATGAACATTTAACTTGTTCACCAAATAGTACTTACAAATTCCAACAGGACTGCACAGGAAGGTGTTGATTTTTCCCCTGTAATCTTTATGTTTTCCAGTTTGTTTTTTTTATTTTGTATCCTCTGAAATAATTTCCAAGTTCTTTGAAGATACTTAACCTATGACTATTTGACATAGAGTTACTTCAAGTCAGCTACCCATACTTCTGTAAAGTTTTCATATGGCTATCTCCAGAATTAGCCAAGTTCCTTGGATTTAAGATTATAAAGTCTTCTGAGAACCGTCTTCTTTATTATTCCATGTACTTGTTACTCTTGTACTTATCCACTCCACATGAAATATCCAATTTATGAGCCAAAAATCAAAAACAAAAAGAAAATTTCACATCTGAAGAACATTCCTAAACATGAGCATATATAAGGAGACACATAGCTATCTCAATACTACCATGCTGCTGGGAAACTGCAACATCTTAAATTTCCACGTAAATAAAAGATAAAATGAAAAAAACTCTGTATTCTTTCAAGGTCTTCATTTAGAAAAGCTGTCCCATTGTGACATGAAAAGGACCGGGATCAAAAATTCCTAAAACTTTCAATAAAGATAAAAGTAAACTACTATGAAACTTCAGCAATATTTAAACAGTAACTTGAAACTGCTGAAACTACTCAGTAAGCAAATCAAACATATCTTACAGTTTTGGCTGAAGAACACCAACAGGGGGCAGGGGGTAAGAAGCAAAAATTCCACCAGCTGAAATACTTTAACCAGTTATATAATCCGTTTGAACCAAAATACTGAAGAAATGCCTGTTCTCCTTTTTAAGTAGCTTGTTGAATTTTTCACTATTATCAATTCACTTCAAAGATGATTCTTGCCAATTTTAATAAACTTCTGGAGCAAAAATATCCAAAACCATTGTAATTCCAAAATGGCCACTTCAAATATCCGGGCCTTTTACACACAAAAAAGCTAGAAGATGATCTTCATATCTGAGTAATTCAATCACCTGTAAAAGTTACAAACAAAAACAAACAAAAAAAACACTTCAATTACACAATGAGTTTCGATTTTGAGCTAAAAATCAACCCCTACCCTAGACAGTCAACCTATAGAGAGAAATTCACTTCTAATTCTACCGGGCCCTGGAAAAGGACTTCGCCCAAGCAAATACCCAATAAAAGTCTACTGTATGGAAAGAGCTTCAGAGAAGAGGGAAGAGAAAAGATGGGTGATGGTGTTGTACGGAAGTCAAGTACTGCTTTGAACAGGGAAAAAGGGTGCGGATATAAAACCTGAGGACATGATAAGGAGCTAATAATCTTCTTACACTTTCTGAGTAAATATTAAAACTATGAAATTCGCACAATCTTATAAAAAGGTCTTCTAATTTCTATACAAAGAAAAACGCACAGATGGGTGTGCTGCCACGAAGCACTAATAAATGTATTTTAGAGAACTAGAGGTATAAAAAGCAAGATATTCCCTCCAAATCAGAATGTAAAAGAGGCATACTTTCCCCACTGAGGGTAGGGAAGGAGGATGATAAGTGGGGCAAGAACGTTTCTTGAATTTGCCAGAGAGTAAGACTTCCCGCTTCTGAGGGTAGTAGTGGAATAAAGGTGTACATTCCCATTTCCTTGAATTAAGAAAACAGGTTTTTCCCAACATTGAGGGGATGGAAGGTAGCGAGCCATTCTAGTAAACCACTGAAAGAGTAATTCTCTCCAAAAAAAAAAAAAGGACAGATCCTCTCCCCACAGGTCTGAGAGAAACGAGATAGCTCTCGCCCAGTACACCTCAAGTGCCAGGGATTTGGGAGAGGCGGGGAGAGCGGGCGCGCCGCTGAAGAAACAGCCGAAGGCCACAACTCAGCCTCAGCTCCCTCAGCCGTCCAAGAAGGGTAGTGGTGCAAAAAGAGGCGGGCGTGAGCCAGAGGCCGGCGGAAGGAAGACCGAGAACAGGGGACGTCGGACCCATTCTCTGCCTCCCCCAAACACCGCCCCCCCACTCAGCCACCAGGGCTAAGCCACCTACCCCTCCCCACAGCCAAGCACCTTCGCCCTACCGGGATCAAATCAATACCAAGACGGCCCTTCCCGCGCCTCCCCTCCCTCTTCCTCCTTGCTGCCCAGTCCCCCTCCCCCCCGACCACGGGCCGTCTCACACCTCACGCCGCCAACGCCGCTCCCGACCCCTCAAACCCGATCGCGGAGACGGGCACCCCCCCTCCCCGACTCCGACGCGGAGTACAGAGAACACTGTTACCTTCTGCCCCACCAGAGGTGCCCCTGGTCTGGGGGTGCCGCTGCACTCGATCCCGGGAGGAGGTTTTCGGTACTTTGAATAATCCCCTTTTGCCGCTTTTCCCTCCCCCACAACCAGTCCCAGTCCCAAAATGGCGCCGACCCGTTCCGCAATGTTCTGGGCCAAGTCTCGCGAGATCGTGGAGGGTGGCGAGGCGGGGAAAGAACTAAAGGGGTAGAGAAGAAGGGGAGAAAGGCGGGGCGAAGAGGAGGAGGAGGGAGAAAGAGCGTGAAAGAAGCGGTATGAACGAACCGATTGGGCGGGGCAGCAGGAGGAGCGACTCCACTAGAGAACCTTCTGGTCCAAGAAACCGCTGACGCCCGGGTCAAAGAAGCTCCGCCCTCTACGTCGGCCGCCTAGCGGGAGGGGATGAGGGCGTGGCTATATCAGGAGGCGGGGCTTCGAGGTGCCCGGGGAGGCAGGGGCACGCGGGGGGCGGTGGCTCCGCACGGTGACGTCAGGAGCAGCTGGAGACGGGGGATTACCCCCTGTTGCTGACGTGAAGACGGTGAACAATCCGGAACATTCGGTGGAAGGGGGAATTCCCCTCCGCTCCCGGAGGAGCCCCTCCTCACGCCCCTCCCCCTTCTGGGCCGCTCGGGAGCCTGGGATGCCGGGCCGTGGGTAGGGCAAAAGGGAAGCGCGCGGAAGCGCGCGAGCGCCGCACCGTCTACCCCAGCTCAGAGCTGGGAAAAGGCGCGGCGCACAGCACTGACCGGGTACCGGGCTTGGGTTGGGATGGAATTGGAGATCATGTGCTCGCTGTACACAATCGTACGCAGTATTCTGGCCAGAACTCCAGCTGTGTTTGCGCACGACAAATTGAGCACCCTAATAGGTCCACCAGGAGCTCTGGTAGCATAGTGGCTAAAGCACTTGACTGCTAACCAGAAGGCTGGCGGTTCAAACTCCTCGGAAGGAAGGTTGGGCAATCCTACTTCGGTAGTGATACTGCCTCGGAAACCCAAGGAGGGGTCGCTATGAGTTGGGGCCGACTCCACGGCAAACAACAATAGGTCCACCACCATATGCAAACACGAGATTGTGTGGGACGTAAATAATATATATGAGAGGCTAATGGCGGATGAAGTCGAGATTCGCAGAGAATACCAGATTCTGAAAGGGTAAAAACGGTTACTACGTGTACTCATGCTAATTATTTTTCATTCCTATATATCTACAGTAGGTCTCAGGGCCCCACAACCCATAGGTTTTTTAAAATGAATTTTATGGTATTCAGTTTTGTAATTATGATGCCTTTTAACCTTATAACTGAAGAGTCGCTGTAAACCCTTAAGTGAGCTTTCCAGGAAGAAGAGAAGTAACCACATGGGCATAGAGGAAAGGTGGGGGAAGGGTACGTTAACACTGGAAAATCCAGATGATAAAAAATGTTTGGCTCTTTGCCCTCCCCCAACCCGCAAGGACTTCATACACAGAAACTTTATGGTCCTTTTATAGGCATTGAGGATTTGTAGTTTAATGGACTGCTTCTAAAAGCTCCCTGAATGTTTGAATGTAAACTCTCCAAAAATTACACTTCTCAACCTTTTATTTTAGTCTTCACTGGGGAGATACACACTTTTGGCAATTAATACTCTACCTGATGCGAAGGAAAGGGAAATAATACTTGCGGGATACCTTGTCTGTGCCAGGCACATAATCCTCATATAAACCTCTGAATTCAGTGTTCTTAATTTTGCAGATGGAGAAACTGGTTCATGTTAAATAGTGTACACACATGGACTTTGGGTGCCACAACATGGCTGTACTAGATTCAAAGTCAGGGTTTTTTTATTTGTATTAGAGCTTAAATTCTAAAGCACTTGGTTTGCATTACAGTCTTCCGCAGGAGCCCTAACTCCATTTTGGATCTTGACATAAATTCAGAAGCCATTTGAATTAGTTCTGATCATTAAACCAGGAATGTGGCTATGCATAAGTAATTCTGGGACAAACCTAGGGAGAGGTAGTTTGCCCTCAGGAAGAGTGTGGTTGAAAGTAGATTGTGTTCACAGGAAGACCTAGGGAACTTGCCTGGATGTGCCCTTAATGATTTATGGAAAATAGTCACACTTTATCTAAGTTAAAGGTCAGGGGTCTGGTATGGTCTTGTTGCCTCCCTGTGGCTAGGACTCAGAGCCACATGGTCATTAGTCATACCTTGACCAACACATAGCCAGGTGGTCAAGCCCCAGAACCAATCCTATAACCTTTTTTAATCTGCTGCTGTTGTTGTTGTTAAGTGCCCTCAAGTCGTTTCCGACTCATGGCGACCCCATGCACAGCAGAACGAAACACTGCCCGAACCCGTGCCAGCCCCCAAAT